AACTCATGGGCAGCTGTGACTGGTCGAGCCAAACAAAACTAATAGTTGGGTCTTCACATAACCCGGAGATATTTGATTTGCGGGATAAAAGATTTAGAATTCCCGTCCAACGTTTTAGATTTATATATATATGGTGTGGAAGTAAACGTAGCCCAAAGTTTTAAACAGAGAAAAGTTGGGTCAGCAAATGTATCGACGAGATGATGTCATCCCAAATAAAGGTGACTGTGCTTTTGGATACGAGATACTGCGTACTGATACAGCCGCGTACGATTGACCAAAGCCGTCGATGTGATGATGAACACACTCTTTCTAAGAATACGTTTGATTTACTCTACCGTCTACTATAGCTACTACTTCGTAAATCAACAACATCGTAACGTTGTAACGATAACATTTATATTCCACCACAACCTCAAATTCGTAATTCGCTGGATGTTGAAAATGTTCCTGATTTTTGCTGACGGATTCAAACGAAACTGTCCAGTATAGGATCCTAGGCATCATGCGGGCAATTTCGAAATTTTGATCCCTACCAACAGTCATAAGTGGTTTGATGCGATAACCAACCATCATCAATTTACCTGGATCTCTAGCAACAATCATCATGGTGTGAACAAGCAAGAAAATTGACCTTCTCTCACAAAATCTTGGAACATTCTCCGACGTGTTAGCCATTACTGATTTCTCTCAACGAAAAAATGCATCAATGAATCCTCCAGAACAAGTGAGTGAAGGGATGAGCTATGACGCTACATTTCCTCATATGCTGGATTTGTTGGTGTCGTATGTTGCTTCGTGGCTTTCTAGGCTCGTACACGACAATCATTCTTGCCGTCTATCAGCCAGGTACCAGATCCCGACTGAACCAAATACGTTCAATTATGCAAGAATCATCCACCAGCCAGTGACGTGACCGTTTGATGGAACTGTTTTTGCAGCGTATCCTTTGGGCCAAGTGAAACGATGATGAATCATTATCCTTACCATCAATGTCGTCACTACTAATGACGATTGCTCACCTTTGGCTTGGACCCAGCAGCTCGATTCAGATTCATGACACCATGTTGTACCAATGGGCAACACAGATAGGATCGAGCGAAACTGGCCACGAGAAATATGAGAAAAGGATGTTGCTCCAGTAGCCACAACAATACGTTTTAAATCTTCTTGGCGTCCTCCTTTGGCCAAATGTGATTGTTCCGATTGCCATCCAAATGGTAGTTTCACAAAATCAGCTGCCACCAGACCAGCATGTTTCAACCGTATAGTTTCTAAGGAAGTCTTCCTATCGATGCAAACAAGAAACCAATCTTGTGACATTTAGAATTGCCAATGGGTAGGACAATCCAAAGTTTTCAGCTGTAGCCAAAAAATCCCAAACTTGCAACGATTCTACTTTACAGCCTTTCTTCCCATGGAGATTTCTTGGGCTTGGTTGTTTTACGAACGACTTTGTCAAAGCTAGAAACACGAAAGGTAGTCATTGTGCTGGGAGTCCATCCAAGACCAGTTGCTGCAGCGACTTGTTCAAAGCCAAGCCGCGTTGTGGAATTCTTCAAACGCCAAGAAGTTGCGTCGCAATCTCCGCTGCATCCTCGGACTTCAAAGCAACGTTAGCCGCTGACTGTTGGTATATCGATAAGTTATGGAACACTTCCATAATCTGAACTGAAAGTATACACCTCCTTCTATGAATCCTAGGTTCGTTGCCCAAGAACTGAAGCAGTCCTGTTTTTCCTTCAAGAAAACAGTTGATAATTCCAAAATTCAAGGCGCGGCCACGAACAACCATGAAAGTCACAAAAGCACTCTCAATTGTCCTCTGTTGGCCCCGGGTGTTCTTACGCAAGATCGAAAGTGCGTGGTATCGCCTATTTTCTGTGGTTTCTAATCAACACCGTGACCTTACTTTTTTTGCAAGGATTGCAAGGCCCACCACCCACTGTCTGTGGTCATTTAAAAGTTATCTGAGTAAGAAGTGAGCATCGAATCGAATGCCCAAAAGACAATATCTAACCAGATCCTACATCCTACATAACAAGAATCATGGCACAATTACAGCATATTCTAGAGGCCAGTCCCTTGTATGCAGCCTTCTTCGACAACCCTGCCCTCCGAGTAGTACTGGAAGAGCATCGCTCTGCTCGCAACCGCATTCTTGAAAAGACAGGACCTGTTGCCAACGGACCCAACATGCTGCAGAGACCCATTGCTACGACCGCCAGTTCCTGGGGAAGTAACCTGCCAGTAGCGAATTGTAATGACGCTCTCTCCATTATAAATGTCAAGATCGGAGGTCAATTGCTGCCGGTAATGATTGACACTAGCGCCTCGGACATATGGGTCGAGTCCTCTCGTTGTGACGAGACGTGCAAATCTTCCAGTGACAGTCGATACGACGCCTCCCAATCATCTACTTTCCGACCAGTAGAGGCAGCCAAATCGGACTTTCAATATGAGTACCTCGACGATGTCACCATCAAAGGTACTCATGCATACGAGACTCTTACACTGGGAAATATCGAAATCAGTAACCAAGTTTTCGCCCAGGCTTCATCCACGGTGAACTTGGAAAACTTGTGCGACGAAGTCGGATTGCTGGGACTTGGCTTTAGTGATGCCTCTAGCCAAGAGTTTCCTGCCCTTCTCAGCAATTTAGAAGATCAGCAAATTACCATGTTCTCTCTGTATTTAGCCGATCATAACGACTACCAGCTTTATATGAACCAAGCAACCCAGCGTAAAGAAGCAATTCCTCAGCAGCCACCAACTTCTACCGCATCGGAGCTCACCTTTGGCGGAGTGAACCCCCAGCGATACATAAACTGTCTAATATGGCATGAACTCGGTCAGTTCCAAGCGACGGGAACCTGGAGTTTTGCTCTGGACGGAATCAAGATTGGGTCGACAGAAGTACCCTCTTCCAGTCTAGCAACGGTGGACTCCGCTACCGCTGGTATCAGCGGCCCACAAGAAACGGTAGGGCGTATC